CTCTGAATATCTCTATGATTAACTAATACTGATGCATTTATTGTCTCTCATCTTCAAAAAAAAATTCTACAAGGAGTGCTTTTAATAACTAGAATGTGAACTGTGTCCTGAATTTGTATGCAGATTCAAAGTACAAGTAAGTACGCTTTGTACTTGGAATATTCATTACAGTACTGCATGCAAATTAAGCACAGATCTCCTTTGCAATTTTCTCCCCCTTTTTTGTCATTTGTTAGAATAAAATGAGAGCAATGGCAACAGTGAATTGGATTATCTTCAAAATTTTAACACAAAAAAGAGGAAGGTGACTACAATTCAGAACGATATCACACACACACACACACACGAAGTGGGGCCCCTGAAACAACATAATTCACTTAATCTTCTTCTTGTAGTAAAACCGAAAATTCCCCTGTGACTGCAGGCTTCTCTATCTGCATTCCTACCCATTCATATATGTAGGCAACAGAAGGAAATCATACTCCATAGGTCATTTTTGACTTTTCACTCACCTTTCTTTTAATGTGTTCCAACAAGTCCTCCCGGCCTTGCTTAAAATACGGATGCTGGAACTCTACTGGGCCATCCCGTTCCAATTTCACAATGCCAGAATCAACATGAACAACTTTGCGAAAACCATCTGAAAATAAAGTTTACTATGAGAAAAGCAACACTCAATGAAATTTACAAATATCCTCCCTCCATACATTTGCCCATTCTTTTCCCCAGTTTTTGAAGGCCAGGTAAAAAAAGTTTATGCTGCTTTTAGGTACTATTAGTCCTTTAAGAACTACATGCAAAGAGAAGGAATGGGGGGAAAACTTACACATATTTAGCTGTCTCACAAAGCTTGCCATGTTGTTGTGCTTAAAGTACTTGGGAAGGATCTCCTTTGCAAATCTTTGTTCATCCAATACCAGAAAACTCTGGCCATTCTAGAATGAAAACATGAGCATTTAGGTTTTTAAATTCTATTAAATGAAGTTGCATAAACCTAGGTAATCATTTACTTAATCATATACTGGGCTTGAAAAAACCCCCCAAAACAGTAACCAATAGGAATCTTTCTTTGCTGACTGTAGGGACTAACCTATCAATTTTCTGTAGCTTTTAAGCTTTCATTAGGAAAAAAGCCATCAGGCATTGCAGTTGGAAAGAGCTTTTGGAGCATGCAATTCATAAAAACTGACAACTACTTGCATATTTATAGTTCTACAGCTGTGCGATTGCTCACAACTTTTTCAAGCAGCAGGAGAGCAAATTAGCAAAATTGTTATACTTTTCCAGTTAAACTGAAAGCTGTATTTCTGTTAGAAAAATGTATACAATTCTATCACCCTCGTATATTTATTGGGGAAAGCTCAGGAAATAAATACTAGGGATCCTCTTACTCACAGTAGCCATATGATTCTGCAAAGCAAGAAGAGCAAGTTCCTTTTTCCTTATAGCTACTACAATAGTATAAGAACTTAAAATTAATCAGATAGCCGTCAGCTGGTATGGTATATGGAGCTGTCAAGTAGAGTTTAGAGACAGCATTTTGGTATGACTCTATACACCCTCATTTCCAAACAGCTGGGTGTGACAGACAGCTGGGTGTGACACTGAACTTCTCACCAGTGTCCCAGCCTTTCCGCCTCTACAGTAAGGCATGCAATCATCCAAATCTTGGAGTGTGTTGGGAATAACTTTTTGATACAGATGGTTAGAGAGGCCAATAAGGGGGGAAGCTTTAAGTTACTGCTTGTAAACAGGGAGGAATTGGTTGTGAATGTGAAGTTGGAAGGCAACCTGCATGACAACGACCACGAAATGATACAGTTCAAGATCCTGAGGGGAGGAAGGAAGGAGACCAGCAGAATAAAGACACTGGACTTCAGAAAAGCCAACTTGAGCAAACTCATACAGCTGATGGGCAGGATTCCTTGGGATGCAAGTCCGAGAGGTAAAGGAATCCAGGACAGCTGGCAGTACTCTAAGATCCTTTCAAAAGGCAGAGGAGCAAAGCTGGATAAAAATCAACAATTAAAAGAAAAGGATTTTTTAAAATTTAAATATTTTTAACTGTACTTCTTTATTTTAATGCTTTTAACCCTCCTCCTATATATAGTTTTAATTTAAGATATGTTAAAGCTCAAAGATATCATTATAGAATAGGGATTGTAACTTCTAATTATATATTATATGAGATAATATTGCTAGATAGACTAAGAATGAAATTGAACAGTGTGCAAAAAGTCTAGATGTAAACATTGTTAACCTGAGCCTTGATGTGTGGAGCAATGTTCACAATGATCCAGTTATATGCGCTTGTGTGACAACAGAAGGGACTGTCTACCTTACAGAAACAAGTTGATACATCAGGAAATGCGCACACAGCAGAATACATACAAGTAGCAGCAGGAAAAGCTATAACTGTGAAGAAGAATTAAAATGTCTAGTCTGCAGCTTCGTCAGAGATAATGCTGTAAATGTATCGAGAAACAAATCTAGAAGCTGAAGAAAGCTCCAAGCTAATAACATATGGCTGCAGCACTCATTTGATACACCTCTTAGCCAAAGACTTCAGTGCTCCAGAAATAAAGGCTGATGTTGTTGAAATTGCAAAATATTTCCTCTAACCACCACTTTGCAGCAACTGCTCTGAAGAAAGCAGGGGGAACCAAACTAACTCTCCCACAAGACGCGAGACGGAACTCAGTAGTGGACTGTTTAAGTGATATACTGAGAACTGGCCTAATCTGATGACAATTTGTGAACAAAATTGTGACAAATAGATGGAACTGTCATAGCCAAAGTTCTCAACATTGGGCTAAAAAAGAAACGTAGAATGTATGCTGACTATTCTGAAGCCTATTTCCATAGCTTTGAACAAAGTGCAGGGAAATCGCTGTTTTATCGCCAATGATGCTGAAAATTGTAAGGAACTGAGTGAGACCGTGAAAAGAGAAATAAGCAAAGACAAAGTCAAATTACAGGCATTAAAAATCCAATGGATCAAGCACCATCTCCAGTTCATTTTCTTGCCAATATTCTCAATACTTGGTACTAGGGTCAATCCTTAACTGCTGAAGATGAGGAGTTGGCTATGACATGGGCATCCAGAAATCATCCCTCTGTAATACCCACTACATTTCAGGGCTAAGGGTGAACCATTCAAGAAACATATGTTTGCGAATGAGGTTTTAAAGAAAGTCACACCAAGGAACTGATGGAAGTTACTTAAGCACCTGGATCCAGAGACTATTAAAGTGATAATCCAGCTTTTAGCAGCAGTAGCTTCTTCTGCAGGTATAGAAAGATTTTGTTCCTTTGGACTAAATCACTCTAAGTTGAGAAATCACTTGGGAACTGAAAAAGCAGGAAAGTTCGTCTTTCTCTTCCAGTCTATGAATAAGCAGGAAGAGGAAGGTGAATACTGAGTTTGCTGCGTAACCCAGTATTTTAAGTTTCTCATGTTGACCTGGCTGAAATAATTTATTAAATTTTTGTTAAAAACACATTTCTTAACTTTTAGTTATGTAAATTCAAAAATACACATGCTTGTTGTGTTAAAACAATTATACTTGTTGAAGGAAAATATCCAAAATACATAAGCTTGTTGTTTTAAATAAAACAACTTAAATTTCATAATTCAGTTTCATAGTTTCTAGGGTCGGAAGGGACCTGAG